CCCCAAAACCCCAAAACCCCAAAACCCCTTCAGATATAAATTCATACCATTAATGGAAATTAAGATTAATTAAGTTTATTTATGAAATCAATCTCTTACGTATACTCTCATCAGTAATCCATATCATTTTCCCCTGCTTCGTTTCCATACATTTAATCATCTCTGTCGGCCTCATCCTCTGGTGGAAGTAAACTCTCCTTGGGTAATCTAAATTCATCGTATTATACTACTGAGTCAATTTATTGGATAATGGTATCAATTGATTCCTCATCCTGAATATTCAGTGGTACAAACTGGACCATGTTAAAGTTATCTATCACTTCAACTATTCTTTGGTTGAGTTCATAATACTTTGGAGGAAAAGAAGAGTTCATGCTATTTAAAACATCGACTGCACTCATCTAGGTCACTCTTTCTATCTAATCTTAGTCTGGTATCTTATCACATTTAGTCAGAATGTTTATATGAGGAATACTAAGCTATGTCATTGTTGAGAGAGAACTAAATATAAGAATATAGATTAATGGAATATTACGTGAAGCAAGCAGAGATATACTTAGTGGGTTCATTGATAAAGGTACCATCAGCACAGTAAGTGGCACATAGGAGAAATCCAGATTTTTGAATTTCTCTAACAAGTCTGGGCATGATGTCCAAATGAGAGTAGAGTTCTATTTAGCCTGGGCAGTCGAATAATACAAAGGCATCTTCTGCGAATTCCTGTAATTCCTCCATAAGCCAATCAATGTTTTCAATCAAATATTCCATGCAATAGATCAAACCCCCATTAGGACCATAATTCATTTCTTCCTGCACATCGTCAAGTGATATCAAGTCTCTAATATCTAAACTCAAAAATAACTTAGTTAAGCATAATAGTACCTATATCACATTTATACTTAAAGATCTCTGCAGCAGGATCAAGATTGCAGACCTTATATATTCTTTTGTGAGTTTCACCTGCCTCTTGCATGACCTAACAAAAAGTTGACTATAATTTGCTGTTATACTATGCTAAATAATTACCTTTCCACTTCCAGCTGGACCTACTACTACACATCCGAAACCTGTTGCCATTATTTTAATCTTACTTTAATATTGCAATATTAACAATTATTAAACTGAATTAATAATCAGCTAAAATGAAATTAATCAAATAAGCAACTGCAGCTGTAGGATTGTTTTTTTCTACTACTTTGTTTTCCTTTTTAAATTTCTCTAGCCAAGCATAGCTCTAACTTAAAGGCGCTGAATACAGTGCTTTAGGCTTTAGTAACACTCAAAATCTGGTGATAATTCATTCAGACACAGAAAATCATCTTTGTGTGAGATAACCATTAACATCTGAAACTAAAGATTTGATTTGTATAAACAGCAACAAGAATACAATAGTCCCAAATCTAGTTCTAAACTCAACTGAGCCTTAGAGCCTTATCATTGGGGATTCCATTTACTTCGGCAACCTGAAGCAATGGCAGCTATACTCTTTGGAAACATTTGAGAATTCAACTCTAGATTGGAGTAATGCTGAGCATTTCAATTGCAATAATAGAAAAGTGATTAAGAGTTAGAGATGCACTAACAAGCTAGCAAGTAAAACATTCAAAGATATTTCAAGTAGTTTCACTTAGGTAAAAGTAATAATAATTGTGGATTTCCTTGATAGATGGAAGGGACAAAGTTTTATAATAAAGCTCAATGGAGAAGTGCTGTAATAATATAGTTATGATTGGTGCAGGAAGACTTTCTAAAGAAGTTGCATTGCAGATGGGATTAAGGTTTGTGGGGTAAGTGACTACCCTGATAAAGTTGGAGTTAAAATACAGGCTGAGACTTAGATACCTAGTAACGGAAATATTTAGATAGAATTTGGAGCTAGTTTAGACACTGAAGGATGTGTTGATGCCAGTTGGGCAGTAGAAAGTATTCAAATTGAGATAAGATGAGGGCGAATTAGAATATTTTCAAATGTTTCTATTAATGTATTCTATTTAATTTCATCAATGCCCTTGCAATGGGGTTTTGGGGTTTTGGGGTTTTGGGG